GAACCACAATACTAATAAGTGATTAATAAAAGTTAAAAGACCAAAGAGGTCACCTTAATACCAAAAAAAAAAAATTATAAAGCTAAAATATACTATTAATAAAAACTTGAATTATAAGTACTTATCTTAATATTAAATATATATATATATATATATATATATATATATATATATATAATCCTTAGAGAATAGTAATTCTAATATAGTAATTGAGTTGTTATTTTCTAAATAATAAATCTAATATTTAATTTTCATTTATAATAAAATTTAAAAATCAATTTGTAATATAATAATTGTCTTTTGTCAATTGGTTAATTTTATTCAACTATGACCCAAATATACTAAGTTAAATGTTACTTGTCATTGAGAACTTAAAGCATTTATGCAAAATATAATATTACATATATATAAAGAAATATTAATAAGCAGTATTATATAAGACTTTAATGTAAACTTATAATAAAACTATTAAGTATAAAAAATTAAAAAACTAAAAAACTAAAAATCTACTTAGAAATTTTCAAATAAAAAAATTGTATGAACTTTTGATAATATTATTGAACTAAATAAAATTTATAAACTATATTTAAAGAAATGAATTGAATAAACTAGATGCAAAATATATATAGAGAAGTATATAATCAACCAGGCTATTAAATTTAGTAAAAAAAAAGTAATATAAAAATATGTTATATCAGACTATCTAAATTGGTAGTTTGATTAAAGTCTGTTAATTATAAGTAACAGTTAATAAAGAATAATAAAGAAGATATTAGAAAAATAGGTAATAGAATTTTAGTAAACTTTACAAAAGTAAAAATAGTGTAATATAACAGTTAAACAGATAACTCTTGTAACTATAAGTATTAAATAACTATAGTGTATTGCACAAAAACTAAATCAACTATGTGTAAAATATAACAAGTTCTAATAAGTCTTTGATAAAAATAAAATAATTTTAAAGATACTGATAAGTATTGAGAACTTGGATGGGTTGTACTTTGAAAATATTTCTGTAATACAAAAAAATTGTATATACAAAAAATTTAAATAACCAAAATTTGTAGTTAGCTTGTAAATATAATATTTAGTATAAAACTTGTATAGTAATGTATAAGTGGATTATTTAAATTAGATACTAAAAATATATATATAATTAGTTGTAACCTCCAATATAAGAGATTTATTAAAGGCATTTATGGTAACAAAAACTTGAATAAAACAATTATTCTTTAAAGATAGAGATTTAACTAAAAAATATATATATATATAATCTATAAAGCATGTTTGTAATATTGAAAATTATATGTAAAACTTTTATTCAGTAGAAAAAGAAATAAGAATTGAAAAAAAGACTAAGTGTGAAAAAAGAAATTTGAAAAAAAAACCAACAAAGAAGAATATTAAGTCTACTAAAATAGAAAAGAACCAAACTATAGAAGAAAAGAAAAGAAGAAAAGAGATGGAAAAAAAAATACATAAAGCATGACTTGACTTGATTATAAAATTTATAGATAGTAAAAGGAGGCCATTTACATATGGCCCCTCTGGCTAGTTTGGTATAGCCCCCAGATAGGATTCCTATAATTTATTAACTTGTACATTAAGGCTTTTTAGCTTCTTATGTATATACTAGTTGCAATGTACAGTCTATTAACCATGATCTTCTCAAAGAAATTTAGTTTGTGTAATCCAGTGACTCATGACCTTTACGATTATATTAAATTATTAGATTTTTAGTTACTAGAATCATAATTTTGAGTTTAATTATTATTATTGAAAAAATTATTTAAAAATAATTTTACTTATTTATCAATATATTTTATATTTCGTTTTTAGGGAATCAATTTTTTTAATGAGTACGATAAAAGAAACTGGAACTATGAAGCATTTTTTCGTATCTCTTAAATAAAAATATTAAGATTGAAGACTTATTAATAGATGGGCATTATGTTTAGAATATGTTAAAAACTAATTTTAAACGCTATGATACCATTTATATAACAATTAACAAACTTAGGCTATACAAATTTAATAAATTGGTTCTCATAACATGAAAATTTTAAAAGTGACCTGGTAACCCGGCTTTTAATTTTATTTCGAAAAATTTTATATATAAAAAACAAAATTTTTTATAGATTTTTTAAAAAACTCACCCGGATAGTAAGTATACTTGAAAATTTTTTTTATAGTTTTGTAAATTTTGACCCGGCCGGGTTATGAGAACCGATTTATTAAGTTTGCATGGCCTTATAAAAAAGAAATTTGTTAATTCAAAAGGAGAAGCCAACGGCTCTTTATCATCACCATTAACAGTATCATCTGTGTCGAGTAGATCACCATCATTAATGTCGAAAAAAAATCAAAATTATCTTCGAGACTAGGGTCGAACTTATCTACAAAAAATAATATATATTTATTCCAAGATTATCATCATCGTTGAATTATCGCCACCTGTTGAAAAAAACTAAGGTAAATTATATGAATCACTGCTTCTATTATATTAAACTTTGTTAAGTTATTAAAAAATGGATAATTTTATTTTAGAGAACGTTCCCTTATTTGGAGGGTTAGTATGATTATATACGTTTGTATAGCACATATTTATTATTAAATGTAGGGGTGCACACGTCCATGTAAAATGTAAATATTGCGCCATTAATTTTATCGTTATGATAAATTAAATTAAATGAAAACAAACAAATAAAATAATCCATATGATAAAATCGTGAGAAAGAAGAATAATATAAAAGTGGACATTATTATTATAATAAAACCTACGATTCCGTGTTTACTAAAAAAAAAAGGTATCTGTTATGTACATACTGTATGTGCGTGCATACATGGCAGATGTATGCATTACAGCCAACTATCGATATAATGGACCTTAAACCAGAACCATCGCTTTAATGCCATGCCGTTACGTAAAAGGTTTAATTACACTATGCGACAAATCATTAATAATCTATATTAACAACTAATAAAATACTAAATAAGTGACAGTGGATTTGAGTACTGTAGTAGCAATCACATATCTATAGGTATATAGATCAGTTTTAGTTGTCGTGATATCTCTAATGCTATTTTTGCTACTACTAAAATACCCTGACCGTATGTGTACAAGCGGAAACTTCGTTTCCGCTTGTACACATACGGATCAGTGATATTTTTATTACAAATCCAACGGACATGTTTTCCCGTCCATTTAATTTTATTATTAATTTTATTATTATTAATTTTATTATTATTAATCTTATTATTACGTATTAATTTTATTGCAGGCAGTCACAGATGTCGGCCGAAATCTGAAACTTATCAATTCGGTCTTGATCAAATTTTTTCTCCCAAAATTTATAAAGATGGCTGTAAATCATTAACCAAATATAGCGAAACTAATAAATAAGATTAGTGCGCAGTTCTATGACTGCGATTTTACTAGTGGCTATTAAAAGATTTTGATTTATATAAATAGAAAGAATATCCTGTATAACGATAACGGAGTCATGATTTCCGTGTAGACTGTGCGTAGTGGTAGTGTTTTTTTAATATATAAACTAATTATATTGATATTGATTTCCAGATAAAGAACAATTTAAAAATGACACCTAGTTTGGTTTCTTGATCTGCTATTGTGTATTATTTAAGCCTACATTCAAACCAAGAATGTATAATAACAATCAGACCAAGAATGTATAATACCAAGTATGTATAACAATGTTTTGAGTTTATACGTACATACATACGAACGTATATGTTATTTATGATCACGTGCATAAGAATATTTATTTCTTACAGTATATACCTGGTATTAACGTTAATTAAGTAATGAATTTTTTTTATTGAACATCAATTTATACAATTCCTATGTACACATTATTTGTGAATATGCAGTTTTATTTTAATGCAATATTTTATGCAAAAGAAACCAAAAATCTATTTTTTTTTTTTAAAAAAAAAATTTATATTAATCATTCCAAAGAATTCCACCGACAGTACCATTGTTCTCAGCGGGAGTTAAATTCAAAATTTTTGCCACAATATTATAAACTTCAATATTAAAAAAACTTTTTACTACATTTGTCTTTTTTTTAGAAGCTATTTCCTTGAATGTAGGACCTGAAGCTAAAAATATTCCTCTCATTTCAGGTTCAAGATTATCATAACCATGCATTCCTTTTGGAGATGAATTACCAAAATCACGATGAGTTGAGAGAATCCAACCTACAGGAGGAATGCAGAAAATTGGAGCTATACGATGGGAGGCACGAAAATGAAAACGTTCAGGTATTTCATCACGAAGATAACAATTCCAAGGCTGATTTTGACTCGCATCTTTCAAAGATAAATATATATCATTGATATCCGAGTCATTATAAGGACGAATTCCAGCCAATGGTCTACATTCTATTGGACGAACTTTTGAAACATCGAAAACATTGTCTAAAAAAATTTGATTACTAGAAACTGTTTGCGCCATCCCGTGGTCACTAACCTAAATCAAAAAAAAAAAAAAAGTAATAAATAAAAAATAATAAGAATAAAAAATAAAAATGATAATAAAAAATAAAACAATGAAATAATAAAATGGAAAAAAAGAAATTAAAATACTAACGATTATTAAATTGACAATATCAGATAAATTTCTATGGACTAAACCTTCCAAAAGGCTAAGCGCAAAATTATCAACATATTTAAGAGAATCATTTACGCCTACAGAGTCAGGACCAAATTTGTGACCAGCACTATCAACTTCACTTGCATAAGCAGCAAGGAATGTTGGTCTTTCACTTAACGGAAGGTCCAACCAATTCATTATTTGATTGACTTTTTCTTCAATAGTAACATTAGGAGTATAAGGATAATGATAAGTTGGAGTATATCCTTTAATGATAGATGAAGTTCCGACCCATTGTGATACACCGGATTTTTGACCTTGCTTTACAGTAGTTACCCAAATCTATAAAATTTATTAAATAATAAAATTAGTAAAAATTAATAATAACTAACTAGTATATAATGAAGTTTACATCACTAATGCTAAAATATACGTATACCACTAATTATAATAGAACTAACCGGTTCACCACCCCACCATTTTGAATCCCAGCTTTTATTAGGATTGGTATAATAAAAATCGTCATCAAGATCAGGATCATAAAATTCATTTCCAACAATTCCATGAGACTCAGGATAAAGACCCGTAATAATTGTATAATGATTAGGAAATGTCACGGACTATTAATTAAAATAGTTAATAAATTGATAACTATATTTTAACTGTTTTTTTTTTAACTTTAAAAAAAAAATTGCACACCGGAAATGATGGTATCATGTATTCAGCTTTAATACCATTTTGAACTAATGAAAAATTTCGAATAAATGAATAGATGGAATAAATAAATTAAATAAATGAATAGATGGAATAAATAAATGAATAGATGGAATAAATGAAATTTAATAAAGTTAAGAACCATAAAAAGAAATAGGCTTACTAAGTTTATTCAACGTAGGAGTAATATTCCTATCAAGGTAATCAGCTCTAAATCCGTCGAATGATACCAAAAGTACAGTTGGATAAAAATCATGGGATCCGTTAAAAAAGGTCGGAGCCATCAGTAGTTTACCATCTCGAGGAGAGTAGATTGCTACAAGGATCGTGCCCATAAGTATTGTGAGCAGAATAATTATCATAAAAACCTGAAGAAAGAATTTATAACGAGCCTAATTGTAGATTTCAAATAACAAACAATGTTTGGAGATAAACTTTTTAATAAAACATCGTTTTTTACAAATCGAGATCTAACCTCAACTGGATTTTCTTCGGACGGTTCTTCGGTGACTTTTCCAGTTATTAGTCCCTCCTTCTCCTGTTCTACGTATGAAGTATCCATTTGATACTCCTCAACGAAAATTTCCGAATCATTGTTCATTTTGTTAAAAAGAATATACTAAATGTGAAATTATGAAACACATTTATGACTGATAGAGGTTCGTTCTTTGTGACCGGGAAAATTCTTATTATGTATTGTTTAAATTATGTAATTGTGACATTTGATCATACTGATACGTCATATGATAAATTTGATATGCATTATTATTCGTAATATTCGTAACGGTAAGAATACTGACTACGCAAAGTTTTAGATCGGAAAAACGGAAATATTCACGCTTTACAAAATTGTAAAACTAGGCTCGTATAGATTAGGTGTATAAGGAAAAAGTGAGGAAAAATTGTATGAATGACGGAATATTAAATGTTCCGAAAACTTATAAAATGACAGTTACCACGCTTGAATTTATCGTTATCCGACAATTTGAATTTATCATTATCAAAAATGTCGTTATCTCATAGACATATACGTGGTAGGGTTAATAATTTTAATCCATTACAGCCTCGTAGAAGGCCGCGTAACATTAGGAATAGTAATATTCGTCCTATTCGTCCTATTCCACCTACACGCTCACCTCCAAGACCGCCAACACCTCCTATGCCTTCTATAGAGCATACTGAATGGTCGGACTATTTATTCAACGGCAGACTCAACGCTATTTGAAGAAAAGCTTTATTTTTCATTCATTCATTTGACGAATAGGCATGACGAATATGAACTTAATGACAAAAAATAAATATCGTAACTGGCAAAATCGTAACTGGCAAAATCGTAACGGGCGAAATTTAATCGACAAACACAAACACAAACCGGATCTTTACGTCTTTCAAGCTAAAGCTTGTTTTTTTTTTTTTTTTAATGGAGCAGGACCTCCATAATATCGAATATGTAATCGATTTATTTTATGTTATATTTTTTTCGATTTGTAATTACGGAAACATAATTCATTATCCCACTTTATACGATTTTTTCGATTTGTAACTAAGAATAATTTATGAAACAAGTTTGCACAAACACAAAAGACTACACAAAAGACTTACATACACAAAAGACAATTAGAATTATATAGAAAAAACAATTTTATCATCACAACTGTACCATATTAACATATTAATATATATAGAATTAATCATAATAAAATACAATCATAATAAATTAATTGTCTTGCTTTTTTTATTTGATTTATTTGATTTCGCGAAAAACATGACCAATTTTTTTCTCTGTAGCATATGTATCAATATATAGTCAATACTCCAAGTGGAATAACATGCATTTAAAGAATAATTAAGAAAAATTGAATAAGAATTTAAAGTTGCATTAAAGATAAATTGCACTTAGAGAGGTTGGCATTTTTAGAGAGTCAACTATATCACGTAACAAGTATACAAGCACTATGATTTCAAAACTTTTCACTCTACATGCCGACACCCATTATTGTTTGTACATATGATGTAAAAATAAAATGAATTCGGTTAGTCCTCAGCATGTAACTTACAGTATGACGGTGTATTTTCGATTAGAAATATCGCTCTTTACGTTATGACCCGATTTTGGTAATGTTTTTTTTCATTATTCCAATTTTTCCATTATTCCGATTATTCCAATTTTTCCAATTTGTCTAGTTATTCCGATTTTTCCGGTACTTTGTTTGATTAAATAAGAATCATTATAGTACTAATAATTGTTCGAATATGTAATATATTTTTGTGTTCAATCCATAAATAATTTTTTTTTTTTTTTTTTTTTTTTTTTTTTTTTTTTTTTTTTTATTAAAAAAAAAATTTTTTTTCTCTTTTTTTTTTATAATTTGTGCCCCTTTTTTTATTTCATTTTTTGTCCATCTTTTTTGTTTTTTTTTTTTTTAATTAATAATAATTTTTATATTAATTATTATTTTTTTTTTTTTTTTTTTTTTTTTTTTTTTAATTAATTAATTTTTTTTTTTTTTTTTTTTTTTTTTTTTTTTTTTTTAATGGACTAAAAAAGAAAAAGTTTCGGCACAAACACCAATCAAATACGGGCACAGTTTTTCAGATCATATGACGACCAGATATTTATTTTAATAATGACGACTATATTCCTTGTTTTTGACAATATTTTTACGACCGAAATTGTTTAAACATTTCTATAGTAAATTTATTGGTCCTTTCATAAATTTAGTTTGTACTTATCAGTTATGTATATATCAGATATCTTATGTCATCAAATCTTTTGGTGATTACATATCACTGTTTTTAAATTTTGACATCTTAGTAAAGGTTAGTGATAGGAATAAGGATAATAGTATCTCAGAATTTTGCAAGTGCAGTAAACGCGCAAGAAATGTGATTTTTTTAGACAAATTTATTTGAATGTTGCTAAAAATGGATTATATGAATTCATAATAATCTATTTTTAGTGATACTCATTTATTACACCTAACGCTAATCTTTGTTTTTAATTAAGTTTGTGCACAGGGTTATCTATAGCAGTGTTGAAAATTCGTTGTGCGCTGTGCAAAATTGCACAAAAAATAGAATAACATTCATGTATAAAAACCTTTGAGCTAAAAGAAATACTAAAGATCAAGCGATGAGATTAGGGTTTGAGACCGTAAAAAACAGTGGATCGAGATTTTGGCAAAGGATTTAAATTAAAAAATTCATAAAAATGTACATTGTTGGCTCTTGTATACCAAATCTTTATATGCCAACAAATGGCTTATCTTTATTTATTTATTTACGAAATTTTGCCGATTTGAATCACTAACGACTATAGTTTACTTATATAAATCATGTAAAAAAATTAACTAATATAATCAATGAATGATAACTGATATTTGAGATTAGGTAAAATATCAGGCTTCGTTTATTATTTATTATGGAATACTCACTGGCAAAGCCTGGACAAATTTCACACAAACTATATAACGTATATAACGATTAAGTATACCAATTAAATTTATGGTTAGTGTTTTCTCTTTACGTTCTTCATATCACATGTATAAATATTATTGGTCAATCTATTATACCAAATCTTTCTTTTTAGTTTCTAACCCTCGTCCAAAGCCAGTTTTTTAAATTGATTACTAATCGGTTTGTAAATTAGAAATTTCGTGATACCGATATCGATACGTATCGATATAAAATGCTATGTACCGGTACATACAAGGACCTCCTAATTTGGGTGGCCTCCCCTGTTATATCTAATCAAAAAAGGGGCCTTTTAATACATTAACATCCTATACTATACCGATAATTTCTAAATTGTAGCATTACGGAATTTCAAACTTATATATGTTTGTATTAATTGCAGAGTGAAATTTATATTGAAGTTATGAGACATATAATTTATTATGTCTCATAACTTGATTTTCAAGGCTAAGGCCCCATATCATTTCCGAATTGCAATATTAATGCAGCATTCGGAAATGTGGATTTTCGTATTTTTAATCAACTATATACCCCATCTAGATTTGCAATATATAGCAAGGGTAACGAATATCCTTTTTATTTTTTATTTATTATTATTATTTTTTTTTGAGAAATAATATGGACAAAGTCATACTTGACGAAAGATTAAAAGAAATCTCAAAATATAATATGAAAATTTATAATTGGTCTAAAACTGCATATTGTACTCCAGAATTATATTTTGAACCGGAATTTGAAAATGATATCGTAAAGGTAAATAAAAAAAAATTTTTTTTTTTTTTTGAAATATAAGGATAATGTATATTTAAGTCGAAAAATTTTTATATAATTATTCTTCTAATAGATAATTGAACTTGCCAAGCGAAACAATAAAAATGTTAGAGCGATTGGTATGGCTCATTCACCTTCAGATCTACCATTTTCTGATGAGTATTTAATTAGTATGAATAAATTAAATAGAGTCATTGAGGTAAATAACTATCTTATGTATAATTACTATCCTATTCTATTTTGTTTATTTTGTTAATTTGGTTTATTAACCTTTACAAATTTACAAAAGGTTGATCCGGAAGCAATGACTATAACTGTAGAAGCTGGAATGAAAATATCACAATTAAATGAAGAACTTGTAAAGCATGGGTTGGCATTGAGTAATTTATTGTCTATATCTGACTTAACTATTGCTGGTATGATTTCTACTGCGAGTCATGGAACTGGGATTAACTTTGGATGCCTTAGCACACAGGTAGCATCATGGTAGCATCATGGTAGCATTATGGTAGCATTATATATTAAGTATAATAATGTATCATATCATTGAAAATATCTAATTTAAATACTTATTGATATTTCTCAATTTTATAGATTAAATCTTTAACATTGCTTACTGATTCTTGTGGTAAAATGTATTGTTCGGAAACCATGAATTCTGATGTTTTCAAGGCCGCTTTATGCAGTTTAGGTGCATTGGGAATCATTACACAAGTTACAATTCAATGTGAAAATGCGTTCCTCCTTGAAGCAAATCAAACTCCGGCAAAATTAAATTACGTTCTAGATAATTTAGATGTTATTGTTCATTCGGCTGAACATGTAAAGCTTTGGTGGTTTCCACATACTGATGATTGCATTATTTGGAAAGCAAATCGTACAAACAAAGTAATAAAAATCAAATATCATCATTAATTGTAAATTTTCAAGAGTATTAATTTAATAATTTATCAAAACTTTGTCATAACAGAATTCATCTCCACAAAAAATATCTTACATTCGTGATATCTTGTTCGGATTTTATCTTCATCAATTGTTCCTTTATTTTTCTCGTTTCCAATCCTCAATAGTTCCAAAAATTAATCAATTAATATTCTCTCTTACTTTCTCAAAACCCATTCATGCTATTGATGATTCTTATAAAATTTTCACTTTCGATTGTTTATTTCCTCAATATGTAAATGAGTGGGCAATACCAATAGAGAATTCGATTTATGCTATAAGGGATTTGAAACGATGGATAGAAACGACTGGAACAAAAGCTCATCTTCCCGTTGAAATTAGATTTGTTGATCAAGATGATATTTGGTTAAGTCCATCTTATGGTAGAAAAGTTTGTTATATTGGAATTATCATATATAGGTAAATATTTTTATTATATTGCTGTATCTAAATCGGTTATTCACTGAGAAAAAAATGACTGTAATTATAATGATCAAAATCTGAATTCGTTAATCATCTAACGACCTGATTCTACAAAAAGGTTACCTAAAGTAGATCATTTAGACGATTAACAGATTTTAGTTTTGATCTTATAATTTACCTATATAAATCCGGTGTCATTTTCTAGAACGGATCCCTTATGTCCTTTTATTAATTATTTATACAGGCCATATTATCAATCTTTACCTTATAAAAAGTATTGGGCTGGATATGAAAGTATAATGAGATCTTATGAAGGACGACCTCATTGGGCAAAGGTTTTTCTTCTATTCATTCTTTTTTTTATGTTCTATTGTTTTGTATTACTATATTAACAATTTTATTAATTAATAGAAAAGTACGATGTTCAAACATGAACTTGAAAAGGCATATCCAAAATTACAATCTTTTATAAAACTTCAAAAACAGTTAGATCCCACTGGATTATTCTTAAATCCTTATTTAAAGAGGCATTTTTTTGGAGAGAACGTTGATTTAAAAAATCTTCAATCAAAACTGTGAAAAAAAAAGATAGTAGTGGTTTTTTTTTAAAAAAAAGTAAAGGTTATTTTACTTGCTTTTTTTTTTTTTTTATTTGTCTTTAAGGTTCGTTATTACAATGTAATTGGAAAGTCAAGAAATTAAAAGATAATGATAGTCGAATTCCAATAACTCATCTTTTCAAATTCATATATCATATAAAGTCAAACGTTGTTTCACTAACACCATTTACCAGTTAACTTTCTCACCAATATTTATTTATATTGCTATTTTTTGTCAAAATACTTTATCCTGCATTACAATCATGGTTATTCTTCATAAATTTATGTGTAATTGCTTATCTTGTTAGTAAAGATCAGATGAATCATAATATCTTTACGCCTTGATAGTTTTGGTATTGTTATCTCTGACAAATTTTATTGTAAAAATAAACAATTAAGTTTTAATTCAATCCAGTTATTTTGTCTGTCTAATTGGTATATTGATAGTTTTATATATAAATAATTTTTTAATTTGATGGCTTATTTTGAATGATTTCTCTACAGTTATCAAAATGTTCATCTTAACAAGATGTTCAGAATCATCATAATGCACCGCCCTTGGGTGTTTGGTCAACATATTAAATCAACCATATTTGTTGACACTTAATACGTAGTATGTATAATGAATGCAGCGTTCTATGGTAATAATAATATCTTTAAATAGGGATGTTATTGGCTTTATTTGAAGCCATCTTTAGCTATAATTTGAAGCTAAGCTAAAAATCAAGCCAAGCCAATAGTCTAAAGCTATAGCTTAAGCCAAAATTAAAATTTTCCTTAAAAAAAAATAATCATTAGTTTTAGTTTTAATAGTAGCCAATAGCTTGAACCATGACTTAGTTATAGCTTGGCTATGACTTCTTTAAGCTAAGCTAAACTATCCAAGCCAATAACATCCCTATCTTTAAAATGAATGTTGGGTGATATATAAACGCCACGATTTAGCCTTAGTTTAGTTTTAATGTTAACGTTTAATAATATGTAGAAATAACGTAATACGTACGTATATAAAAAATAAATATACGTATAAGTTTAATTCAAAAGTTTAATTTGGTAGCACTCATTTTAAGCTATAATACAGTAATAGCAGATAGTTGATTACGTATACGTACGTAGAATGTTTTTCAAATTATCCGCTTTACTTTTTTGTAAAAAAAAATATACCACATGTCACAAAATTTATAAATGTCAAATGATCAACTGATGATTACTAATTTCATTTCTCACCAATTTCACCAATTTACTTTAACAAATAAAAAAAAAAAAAAATGGATCAAAGTTCAAAAGAAGAAATACTTAAATATGTTAAAGAAAATTTATCAAACATTCATTTTAAAACTCTAAGAGCTAACGAGACTGAATTAGGTGACGATGAAAAATTAAGGATTATGCGTCAAACACTAGATGATCCTGCTTTGTTTTTATCAAAGTGGGGAAGATTTCTCGAAAAAGAGCAATTGATGTTTTTTGATAGACTCAGAGGTAATTTTTCTTTTACTTAATACTTAATTTAGTTACAATCAACTTTTTATCTTATGACCTATTGGATATTGTATGTCTATTTAATAGATTTATTTTATAGATTTACTTTATAGTTATTTTTGTAGGATGGATTTTGATTTTAAAATAATTTATAATTTTAATATTTCAATCTTATTATCGTCTCTTCATATGTACACAGATGATTATGAAGTAAATTGGCATTTAAATAACCTTCAATCAAGAACTTCGTCTTCTTCAACATTAGCTGCATCTCGTAATATTAATCCGACAGCTCGTCACAATAAACAAATTTTAAACAGAAGATATAGATACTTAATCACTAAACTTGATGATACTTCATACTTTAGTGATGAAGCAATGGAACAAAGAGAACCATTATTATATCAAGATTATGTGGGACAATATACTTCACAAGAAGAGAAATATCCACCTTTTGCTGATGATGTTGATTTAGTTGATCGGATTTTGTATGATATTGGTTTGTATAAATCTTGGTTTAAATAGAAAAACTTAATAATGATTTTTATTCGTTAATTCATGATTTTAATATCATAAAATAGATCAAAACTATATACATAATAGGTTGGAGCAAGAACGAAGAATTAGAGATGAACAATTTGAAGAAGAGGAGGAAGAGGAAGAAGAAAATGATTATGAGGAATTATCTTTGAGAAATGAAACTGACAATGTTTCAAAAATAATCAAAGATATTGATAATCTGTCAGTGCAAAATGGAAATTATGTAAATACCGGGAATGGTCAATCCAGTACAACAATAATAGATAGTTCACCAAGAAATGGTTCTATTAGCATTAATGCAGCCAATGATGTAGAAGAAGAAGTGCAACAAAATTCCACTGTAGCATCTATGGACCAACGCATACAAATATCAGATGAGGAAAGAGAACAGTTGAGAGCCGATCTTGTTGATATTATGAGAGAAAGGTTTTTTGGTGGAAACGACGTAAGAATTGGTAATCTGACTATTCACATTTCCTTTCATAATTACATAGATTAATTTGGGATTTGCTCTACTATATTTACAATAGCCAGATTTCGATTATGACGCAGTGGATTTTAATGAAGAGTACGATGACATTAATGTTGAAGAACAAGAAATCCATGGTATAAAGCTTTGATTATTGGTAAATAGATGCATTTTGTTAAAAACAATTCTTATTTAAAATATTACAATTGTTTATTATTAGATAAATATTTTGATAACGGTAGGAGTTATATCAGTATTTAAAAGTTCATCTAGAATTATGTTTACTGAAAATTATTAATTATTACAGAAGATCCAGATGTTCTGGATAGTGGAACCGGCATTTTGGATTATTGATTCTTTTTTTTTTTGACGTAGGTCAGAGCTTTTTCTTTGGTTCACTATGCTCGTAAATACATTCATAACGTCTTTTTATATATGTCTTATGTTTTTTTTAGAATAATATCAAAGAAAATCATATAATCCCTGCAAACTATACATAGTTACGAGCTACGATACATTCTTGGCTCATGATATTCTAAGTAAACTTTCAATACAACTATCAGAGATGACACTAAATCATCTAAGATTTGACGGTATTTTTTTAAAAACAAATTGTATGGATAGTTTTGATATAATCGATCGTTAATGCGAAGGACACCTATTTTAATAGCATCACTAAAGAAATATACCGACATCGTTAATATTAATTGTGTTGCTATAATTAACTTAACCAACAAAACCAGGGTACAAGATTGATTTTTCGAAAAGATATGGCGCAATGTAAAAAAAAACAAACACTTTTTAAAGAAATCGAGAATATCAGAATTTAATCTAATTAACCACCTATGTTCGAAGTAAAAAATTTATTGTGTGATTTTACTATTATGTCAGCTTTTTTAATTTTAAAATGGAACCCAAACCTTAACATAAGCAAAAATTTGAGTTTTCCGGAGTTATCACATATTCAAAAAATTGACCCTACGCTCTATCAATCTGAAACCTACTTACGATGTATCGGCATTTTCATATATTGGAAGCATTAGCTCCCGGATCGTTATTTCATTTTCAAGCATCACATTGTTCTTATTAAAAGAAATAATTAAAATATACATACATCTCTTAACAATTATTACACAAGAACGCATCTTGCTCTGTCTAATTTTAGTTGTGTATAACATCATCCCGGATTACCACGCAGAAAATAATTAAATACATGAGTTTTGATGCTATACACATGTATATAATCATACTAACCACTCCAAATAAGGGAACGTTCTCTAAAATAAAATAAACATTTTTTTAATAACTTAATAAAGTTTAATAGAATAGAAGCAATGATCCATATAATTTACCTTTGTTTTTTTCAACGGGTGGTGACAATTTCAACGATAATAATAATCTTGGAATAAAAGATACCAAATAAGTGCGAAATAATGCGCAGGGGCGTTGTTTTTAATAATGGCCCGAATTAGGTTAATTTAGGCCAAATTACACCCCTGCACGTTATTTCACACTTATACGGTATATTATTTTTTGGAGATAAGTTTAATCTAGTCTCAAAGATAATATTGCTTTTTTTTAACGATAAGTTCGACATTAATAATGGTGACGATGACAATGAACGTGATGATCTACTTGACACAGATGATACTGTTAATGGTGATGATAAAGAGCTGTCGGCTTCTCCTTTTGAATTAACAATTTTTTTTTCATAAGTTAATTTGATATAGAGTAGTATCATAGCGTTTAAAATTAGTTTTTAACATATTCTAAACAGAATGTCCATCCATTAATCAGGTCTTTAATCTTAATATTTTTATTTGAGAGATATGAAACAAACGCTTCATAGTTCCAGTTTATATTATCGTACTCATTAAAAAAATCGACTTCCTAAAAATGAAGCATAAAATATATAGACATTATTAGTAGAATTATTTTAAAAATTTTTTTTCGTTACTAATAATTAAACTCAAAATTGTGATTCTAGTAACTTAAAACCAATAACCTAATATAATCGTAAAGATCGGTTAATGCATTGTACACATTGCTTATTTGATGTATAAGAATACAAAGAACCACTGGATTACACAAACTAAATAGCCCCCAACAACGTGAAAACTAAAAGCTTCCCTTGAGAAGATCATGGTTAATGGACTGTACGTAGCAACTAGTATATACGTAAGAGGCCAAAGAGCCTTAATGCACAAGTTAATAGATTATAGGAATCCTAAAATGTGCAAAAATTATAGATCATGCAATCCAAACAGTCCCCAACATTACGATAATGATAAAAAAAATCCATTGGACTGTACAAATCGAAATAACCCCCAACGCTACGAGCATGCTTTATAGATCATACATTCAGTAAGCTCTATATGCAAAATTAAAAGGTATAAAACTTCAACATAATAAGCTCAAAGAATTGTAAAAATCTACCGTAACGATCATGGTTAATGGACTGCACGCTCCCTTTTGATACGTGAGAGTACAAAGAGCTATTAACGAATTGTACAAACTATATCTACTTCTTCATAAATATAACCAATGGATTTTTAAAAAGGCTAATGATTTTTAGTTCACAAGATGTCAACAAGCGATTTTATCATCGATACATTAAAGTTTCTACTTAGTAAAGTCAAAATGTCTTTACCTTTGGTTGTTGTCTTGTCATGTTTGTTATGATTTATTTTCTAAGTAATGAAAGAATAACGAAAGCTAGAAAAAATTAAAAAGAACAAAATAAACAAACCAAATCGGACACGGTTAATATTTAAAAAAACAAAAACAAAACAAATCGGATTTTTCTGATCGCGTAACGTTACACTAAATCGGGACACATTATTGGCTTATCTTCATGTGAGCGTACACATAATGATCGACAGAGCAAAAGAAATCGGGTACCCTTATGTCAGGGCTGAAGATCATAGGCAGAAGTTTGTCAGATTGGCTAATAAATTTAATTATTTTACATTATTTATAATAAATCATAATAAAGTAAAAAAAACAGATAGAAGGTTTCATTAGAGTTGTAGGACTCAGTCAAAAATAAGATCTAATTCTTGTCCGTTTAAAAAAATTATCTTAGTAATAAGTTGATTTTATCGGGTTTTGAGAAGTTATTACTATATTAACTTTTTTAAATGAACGAGAATTAGATCTTATTTTTGGCTATGAAGTCCTACAACTCTAATGAAACCTTCTATATGTTCTTTTTTACTTTATTATGATTAGTTTTCGTTTTTTTAAAAAGTACTCTAAACTGTATAAATAATGTAAAATTAAATTGAATTTATTGGCCAATTAGACAAACTTCTGCCTATGAGGCTGAAGATCGCCGAAGATCACTTCCGACCCTATCCGGATCCAATAAAATCACGGAATCTCGTGTAACAAAACAAACGCGAAAAACATAAGAAATTGTAAAAAAAAACGTAAATAACACAAAAATTTACTATGATAACAACTTCTGACCTTTAAGTAAAAGTTTTCAGAATGAAATTTTACTTATAAAACACAATTGTTAATGTTAAATATATTAGAGTAGTGATCCGCAGTCTTAAAATCCTAACTATCCGAATATCTATCTGATCCTATACGGATATTAGCTAAACTATTCAAAAAAATAATTATGATTGGATAAACTTTGATTATTCATTAAGGGTAAAGTACAACGTTGATCATTTCTATATATAATTAGTTGCAAATTCTTATTATTTTTTTTTTATATTTAATTTTTTGAAAAAATATATTAAGTAAATAAATTTTAATTCTTATATAAAAGTTGTAAAGTAGGTCTTTCTGATTCTAATGATAGTAAAATTATTAAAATTGAACAAAAACTCATCGAGATATAAGTTATTAAACATTAGGTTATAAAACTATATAATAAAATTAACTTATAGATTTATATAAATTAACTAATCAAATTATTCAATTTTGTATTATCTAGACAAATTTTAATTAATCTAAGCAAACTTTATCATATATACAAATATATTTTTTTAAAATAATAAAATAGTTTAAAACTTTATTATAATAAATAAATAATTTTATTTATAATATTATAAAATTTTTTTATTAATTAATTAAAAAAGAAAAAAGTTTTATTTTTTTTTTTTTTTTGGAGTTAAGGTGAGGTCATGCCTCAGGTCTGTTTATTCGAACATATTGTTACAGTTTGTA